TTGCTCCACACCCTCTTCGTCCTCATACTCCTCACCCTCCTCCTCCTCCTCCTCCTCCTCCTCCTCCTCCTCCTCCTCTCCTCCCTCCTCCTCCTCGCGGGCAAGGCGTAACTTGTCATCGAGGAGCGGCAACATATTCCGCTGGGGGGCACTTGGGTGGCTGTGGCTTGGTTCGTGCCTTGTGCGACGACGTGCGGGTTTCGTAACAACTAGGTCCCCCTCGAGAACGGAGCCATTCTGATCCTTGCCGTCAATCCGTGGTTGCGTGTGGCGGACTGCCTGTGAGACTCTCGTGAGGGGCGGCCCTGGGGCCTGTAGAGGCAACGGCCAGATCACAACTGCAAGCGTGAGTGCCGTTGCCATGCCAGCCCCTCCCAGCGCCGAGCTTGGGGGTGAACTGGTATAGGCATATGGGCTGAGCCCGTGCACCTGCCCCACGCCAGCCTCGACGAATCCGGGCAGACTCTGACCCGCAAGCCGCCCCTGGGCTGGTGGGGGGATGGGGCGAGGCACTGGCTGGCTTGCTACCGCCACGCATAAAGAAAATAAGCAACAACAAAACAACAACAAAACAACAACAACAACAACAACAACAACAACAACAACAACAACAACAACAACAACAACAACAATAACACCAACACCAACACCAACGACAACGACAACGACAACGACAACGACAACGACAACAACAACAACAACAACAACAACAACAACAACAACAACAACAACAACAACAACAACAACAACAACAACAACATCAACATCAACAACAACAACAACACCAACAACAGCAACAACAACAGCACCAACAACAACAACACGACAAGGGAGCGCCCCGCCTTCCGGCGACCAGGCGCTGCGGGTGGCGCCATCTGCGCTGGGCAGGCCCTCCACCCCCCACGTGTCGGCAGCTCCCTGTGCGGCGTGGCTGCGCGGAGTTCTTCCACGTCTGAGTGCTCTTCCCTCCCCCTCCCGGGGCGCGGCCGGCATCGTCCTCGTCCCTCTCTTGCGCGCCGGCAGATGTTAGACACTCGGGTGCCCCGAATTTCCACGCGCGCCGGAGCGGACTGCCTCTGCGTCGCCGCCGACGTAGAGAACTGTCTGGCGTGGCCGCCGGAGGCGGCCCGTGCCCCCCCCCCCCCCCCCCGCGTCGCTGTGCCGACGGCTGTGCTGACCGGTTCCATTCGACCACCTCCCCTTCGAAGCAGGCCTTCGCCGGAGCAGCGTCTCACTCAGAGGAGAAAGAGGTATACCCGTACCGCTACCTTTCGCCCGTTCACAATTACTCAATATGAATACTACTCTCCCTCTTCCCCTGATGGCGTGCTGGGAGTAGTAGACCCCCCCCCCGCGTACTCTTTTCTTACACACAGGATTCCCGGGAGTTGGGTTTTCGCCTGCGTTTTTTTTCAAAATGCTGCTCTCGCTGAGGCGCCGGCCGGCCTCATTTCTGCTCCCGAATCGTTCCGAATCGTGCTCCCGCTGCAGCGTCGGCCTCATTTTCGGATCGGTGTTTTGCCTCCGTCGTTCAGGATGGCGTTCTCGCCCCAGCGCGGGCCTCTTTCTCGCGCGCCCATCCGCCCACCACCACCGCGCCGCACCACGCCCCGCCCCGCCGCACGCACACCCACCGCCACTTCCACCCACCAACGCACGCACGCACGCACGCGCACCACCACCCGTGCCATGCCACAGCACACGCGCACACACGCACACACACACACACACACACACCACCACCACCACCACCACCACCACCACCACCACCACCACCACCACCACCACCACCACCACCACCACCACCACCACCACAACCACAACCACAACCACAACCACGCACACACGCACGCACGCACGCACGCACGCACGCACGCGCGCACGCGCACCACCACCCACTACGCACGCGCGCGCGGAGCCACAGTTCCGCTACGACACGCGTCCGCGGATAGAGAAAATCAGCGCCATGGTAGGGGATGGGAGGGAGGGGTAGGACGTCAGATATGACGCGAGCGCACCTAACTTGCCTCCCCCCTCTCTTTGTTGGCCTCATGGGAGGCCCTCGTCGCCACGGCTGGATTCGCCTTGAAATTCTGGTCAGATCGCCGGACGCCGGGAGCGGCCCGGGGAGTGGCGGTATCGATACCTTTTGGTTTCCTCACTCACCTGTCTGTTTTGCATCATGGCGGCTGGAAGCCTGGATAGACACACCTGCAGGACTCGACCACCTCCTGGACTCCCGGATGGGGCAGGAGCGGATGAATGGGGCAGGAGCGGATGGGGTCGGGGGAACGCGCCGCATCGGCGATGCATCGGCGACGCGGCTCGGTTCGGAGCCCCGTTCTCTCCATAGCGCTGTCGCCGATGCATCAGCGATGCGGCGCGCGCTCCTCCGACCCCGTCTGCTCTGGCCCCGTTCGGGAGGCCTCCCGTCTTCCTTCACGCCGCCCCGCGGCCAGGCTGTCCTCTCTGCTGGACAGCAACATCTCGATCCGATCAGGCGGGCGCGGGCGGGAATCGCGGCCGACCTCCATCCTCTCCAGCGCGCCAGAGGCGGCGTTTCGGGGGAGTTTCCTGCGGCCAGGTGTGGGCCCCCCCCCAATATAGACCCCCGACGCCATGATTTTTCTATCGCGTCGACACCCAGGGGTCTCGGCCTATTCCCCGCGACCGGCTTTTCATCCCGAGTCGTTTTGTTGACGGTCCCGAGGGGCCGGCAAGGGCACCCAGAGGCCGAACATTGTGAGGCACCTCCGGTCGTGAGTTTTCATTGCCCGGGGGGGGCCTGGGGGTGGAGGTCAAGGGAGGAGGGGGATGAGGAGGGGGAGGAGGAGGAGGAGGAGGAGGAGGAGGAGGAGGAGGAGGAGGAGGAGGAGGAGGAGGAGGAGGGAGGAGAGGGGGAGGAGGAGGGGGGAGGAGGAGGAGGAGGAGGAGGAGGAGGGGAGGAGGAGGAGAGAAGGAGGGAGGAGGGAGGAGGAGGAGGAGGACGACGAGGGGGAGGAGGAGGGGGAGGAGGAGGGAGGAGGAGGAGGAGGAGGAGGAGGAGGAGGAGGAGGAGGAGGTGAGAGGAGGAGGGGATGCAGGGAGGAGGAGGAGGAGAGAGGAGGTTTTGCACTGCCCGAGGGGGTCTGGGCCCCTCTCCCCAAAAAGACCCTTCCCAGACGTCCGGCGGCGCCATCTTTCCAAGCCGCGGGTCCGAAGGGTCCCGACCCCTTCCCCTCCTTTTCTTCGGCAGACCACTGGGCGCGCACTCCCGAAGCGGTCAGTCTCCCCCTCCTCCCTCCTCCCTCCTCTCCTCTCCTCCTCCTCCCCCTCCCTCCCCTCTACCTCCTCCTCTTCCTCTCCCCCCTCCCCCTCCCCCTCCTCCTCCTTCCTCTCCTTCTCCTCCTCCCCCCTCCTCCCCCTCCTCCCTCCCCCTCCTCCTCTCTCTCCTCCTCCTCCTCCTCCGACCCCTTCCCATGGGGGTAACCCGGCTCCATTTCTGACGGCCCCGGTGCCCGAGGAAAAACGCCCGGTTTGAAAATCAGATCGTCGGAGATCTAGGTTCCCAGACCCTCTCGGGTAATGAACAAATCATGATGGGAGGCTTTTCACTATTTTCGGCCTCTGGGGGCCCTCCCCGGGCCTCGGAGTCCGTCAAGAAACGACCCAGGGTGCAAAGCCGGTCCACGGGAAAGGGTCGAGACCTCTGAGGGTCGACGTTATGAAAAATCATTACGTCGGGGATCTGGGTATAGGGGCGGTGCCTCGTCCGGGATGCTGTTGTGAGTACCCTTGGGTCGTAGAGCTGGTCCCCGAGGCCGACCATCGGGGCGAATCACCGGGACTGAAGCAGTCAGCCCTTCGGTAGGATGCAACTCCTGGGAGGTTCAACCCAGCATTACATCGGCGCTACGAAAGTTTTGACCCGTTTCGTTTTTCCACGAAGACACGTCTCGGGCGGGAGCGCATTGCGAAGTTGAGCTGAAGAAGTGCCGACCTTCATTTTCGAGGAAGTCCTGTGCGGGGGCGCCATTTCGAAATCGAGCCAAAGGGTGTCGAATTCGGGAAGTCCTGGGTGGGAGCGCCATTTTGAAATCGAACCCGGAAGGCTCCGAATTCTGTTTCGGGGGAAGTCCTGGGCGGGAGCGCCATTGCGAAATCGAACCAGAAAGGTTTCGAATCCTGGTTTGGAGGAAGTCCTATGCGGGAGCGCCATTTCGAAATCGAACCCAGAAGTTTCGAAATCGTTCGAAATTGTTTTTGAGGAAGTCTCAAGCGAAACCGTCGTTTCGAAATGCAGTTTGGCATTGAAGCATCTACATTGGATTTCTGATCAGAGATTTCGAAATTGTGGTTTTCGCTTGGGACTCCTCCAAACAAAAACAGTTTCGCACGATTTCGAAACTTTCGGGCCAAATAATTTCCAGATGTCTAAAAAACATGTGTTAAACATGGTTTCCATACATGCTTTCCATACATTTGAAACATGTTTGAAACATGTTTAGACCAGTTTCCGACATTTTCAACACAGTTTAAATTCAAGGATCGGATTGTCAGGGTGTCCATTGTCGTGGCATCCACAATCTTAGTCCCTGATAATCCGCTCAATCTGGCTGGAAGCTGGGTTTCATCTGTCCTAATTCAGTCCGGTGGTCCTTAATCGGGCTTGCGCCCACAATATTCACGTATGAGGAAACCAGTTTCCAAATCAGAGCGTGCAGTTCCTTAGCGTAAATAAGAGCCTATGGATCCCAGGGTCGACTGGAGATTTCATTACATTTGCAGTTTCGACTCGTTCGCTCCTTTTTTTCTGCGGACTGCTCCTGCTTCCTCTGCTTGTTGGTAGTTTTCTGGGGAATTCCCAGACCTAGACTTAGAGCGCGAGTTAAGAAAGGTACTTGCAGAGTCTTTTTTGTTAGGCTGGAGTTGTGTGTTGTACTAATCTCCTAGAGTCGTAGTAGTAGCATAAGTAGTAGTAATAGTAGGAGTAGTAGTAGTAGTAGTAGTAGTAGTAGTAG